CGGAGACGAGGCGGAGGGCCGCGAGGGGACGGGGCCGCGGGCCGCTGGTCGACGGGGCCGAGGGGCCGCTAGGGGACGGGGCCGCGGGGCCGCTGGTTGACGGGCCGAGGGGCCGCTAGGGGACGGGGCCGCGGGGCCGTTGGTCGACGGGGCCGAGGGGCCGCTAGGGGACAGGGCTGCGGGGCCGTTAGTGGACGAGGCCGCGGGGCCGCTAGGGGACGGGGCCGCGGGGCCGCTGGTCGACGGGGCGAGGGGCCGCTAGGGGACGGGGCCGCGGGGCCTGCTAAGGGACAGGGCCGCGGGGCCGCTAGGGGACGGGGCCGCGGGGCCGGCTGGCCGACGGGGCCAAGGGGCCGCTAGGGACGAGGCTGCAGGACCGCTGGTCGACCGGGGCCGAGGGGCTGCTACGGGACGGGGCCACGGGGCCGCTAGGGGACGGGGCCGTGGGGCCGAGGGGCTGCTAGGGGACGAGGCCGCGGAACCGCTAGTCAACGTGGCCGCGGGGCTGCTAGGGGACGGGGCCGCGGGGCCGCTGGTTGACGGGGCCGCGGGGCCGCTGGTTGACGGGGCCGAGGGGCCGCTAGGGGATCGGGCCGCGGGGCCGCTAGGGGACGTAGGGCGGAAAGCGCTGGTGGGGGGGAGGGACCTAACCTACTCATGATACCATGATAGAATGGAATGATGACTAGAATAGGAGGGTACAAGGCAATATAGGCTAGTGTGTTGTACCCTCTAAGGCACAAACCTATATAGTGTACAGTAACAAACTAAGTTATGTTTGACATTCCCCTCCCGATTTTTTCGCTCCGCCACTCTGGCAAAGTTGAAAACTCTCCCTCACGGGCAAGCCCCCTCTACCCTCCTCCCCATATATTCTTAAGCATAACCTAGCTGCCATGGCTCCCAACACCCCGCCAACAATTCTCCTACCAACGCCCCGAATATTTCGGAGCCCGACAATCACGCCCGTGAAATTGCTGGTGATCGCAGCAATAAGCGTCGGGCAGACGAGGGCGAAATTGCCCCCTCTGCCCTCAAGCTGCTGCTGCGCAGTAGTGAGGTCAACCTTGTTGACCCCAAGGAGCCACACGCCAACCGGCAGCACGAGCCGCAAGTGGCAGCTGGCGCGCCACCCCGCTGATGTCAGCGCCGAGAAAGCGCCGAACCGACGGGTGGGCTCCTCGTGTTACAATAAGCGAGGCCGCGGGGCGGCCGCGTCGAGCGCACCACAATCTGCCGCCCCGCCTTGACCGCCAACCAAGTCTAGGCGATTGTTATGAGTTATAACTCAGAGTATAGCGCAGAATACTTTAAGGGGAACGTGGTTACAATGTGTCCTATCCAAATGAGACCTAGGGCTTATATAGTGCGAGTTGACCAGGTTGAATGTCGAGGGTTGGACCAGTCAAGGGCTCGATAGTCCCGAGGGTGACGGGGTCAAAATGGGTTTGGGGCGACTCGGGATCAGGTTTGGGCTGAAAAGGTTGACGGGGGCTGGCTTGGAGCGATAACCAAGGGCCGAGCCTGCGGACGCGCACCGTTCGCGTGTACTAGCTGTGGCGAGCCCCAGTAAGGAATCGTAGTTCCTTACACTTTCCCACCTTCTAAAGGAGGGCACTCCTTTATCGAGGTCGAACCTTTTATCTAAGTTAATCCCAAAGTGACAGTAAGTCTTCAGCCCTGTAACGAGCGTAGTGATCATGCCGGCCTGACGAGGTCTTGAGGTCGAACTGCAATCGATGGCCAGAAAGCGTCGAAACGATCGCTTTTAATCTTGGCCGTCGAAGATGATCGAATTCTTCCACTGACCAAATGGGCAAGGGTAAATACTCCAGCAGAAGACAATGAACAATGAAACCGTCGAGTGGTCGATTGATGATGGCACATGGCAGCTGAATTTCTTGAAATGATGACGGGCGAAGAACGTGCTGGTCGATGAAATGAAGAACTCGTTCATCAAACGCGAGGTCGTCCGAGTCACATGCGAGAGCACGCGTCCGTGTCCCACGAAAGCCAGCAAATTCCATAAACGAAGTAACGAAATCAGGTGCGGAAGCATAACGGTGACGAATGATGCTCGAAGACGGATGATGGAACACGCCGCAAGGTCTGACGAAAAATTGCAGCACAGCTGCACTTCTCCCCCCTTCAAGAGAAAACAACGCCCAATTTCCCAGGTAAAACTCCAAGAAACCCCAATGCTCCAGGGTAGGCGCTGCTGAAAATTCTGATACTCAGCTTCCAATATGCCGCTGCAAAACTCCGCTCCAGGTAAAGTGTCTTCAGGGTAAACCGCGTTGAAAGTCTAAAAATTCCGCATCTACTGCTCCAGAAGACTCCCACACGAACTTTTAATTTCTTCAAAGGTCAAAACACTGCGTGCGAGTTGGCCCCAACACAGCTGCACAGTACTGCTGCAAAATCTTCGTGTTTTAATACTGCTGCTGTAGATTCGAATGGCGAGGCGGGGTCGTGTTCACACAATAAGGTGTGTGAAGAATGGAGGTTGTAGCGAGTGATGGTGAGATGTGGACGACGATGGCGATGACTTGTAACCTGTACCAAACCACTCCCATGAATATCCTCGAACACAGCCAGGTGTCAAATGATGCCAGCTGCATTAGCTGCTTTGTCCGTACACGCCAAAAATTTCGGGAATAGCCGAAACTGCTGCTGCGCTTCTCCTCCTCTATGCAACCAAAATATTCCGAGAATATCGGTCGATGTCGCTTGTAACTCTGAAGATAGCGGGCACAACTTCAGCTTAAAATGCTCGAACTGCTCCTCAAGCTCACATAAAATGTCGGAACCACTTGATACTTAGTAAATACCGTAACTCCGCTTTACAACCAACCGTAAAAATGCCCAGGTGTCACGGCGTCCTTTAGCAGCGCCCCCACGGTTTCTCCACCAGCTGTACGCATGAGCTGAACCCTTTAGCTTAGGGTTTATCGGAGTCCACCGCCTCGGCATGATGTTTTGGCCGTCGATCATGGTCAATGCGCATCATATGCCATCGATCTCCGCCCAGCTGTTACCCAACTGTAAAATACTCCGGTACCCCTGTCCAGTTGGCCATGCAGACGTTCACGCCATCTCGCGGCTGCTGTAGGTTACCCAAAACCGCTTCACTGTTGTTTAACTAACAAGGAGAATCTGCAGAGATAGGACCGCGCACGCTTCTAGTCAGAGGAGCTTTAACGAGCTCGCATACTGACCGCTGGACAGCTCCCTCCTGTGTCGGAAACTCGTCAAACTACACCCGCAAAAGTCGGAACCTCCTTCTGCTGCACCAGGTGAAAACTCTCTGCTCCACTGCAACAGTAACTCCTAAAATTTCGAGGACACTCCATCAGCACAGTGTAGTTTGCAGGTTCCCCCCTTATTCAGCCAGAAGCCGTCGATTAATAAGTCGACACTGCTACCTGGTGGGAATGGTGATTTCCGGGCGACGTAGTTGAGCGAGTAGCAGCCCAAACGCCGTTAACCCATCTGCTCCAGTACTCTCGTCATTCTTCTCTTCAACTCTTGACAGTTAACGCATTCGGCGACCAATGGAAAAACACTTAATACACACCCAGGGGTGGTGGCCTCCGTTTTCGTTGATCGTGGGGGTATGAATCGCTGGTCCACGAAAAACGCCTCCCCACGCGGGAAGTCGCCCTCGCTGAGTACACTCACTCCAGCACAACGTCATCTCCTCCAGATGGCCGTCGTGGTGAATAGCGCTGAGGACGTTAATCCTAGCTACTCCAATACAGCTGCACACCCACGCGTCCTCGTGCGATCGTGTTGTTCCGAAATTGTTGGATATGCCCATTGCCGAAATAGTATTGAAGTCCCATCCATCACCTGCAACTAGCCTGCCGGAAACGCCGGGACCCGCGACACAGCTACAGTTCACCCTGCCACTGCATGGCGTGCCAGACGTACATCGTCGTACATCTCGCCATTTTCGCCACACCGCGCGCTCCTGACGACCAACTCCCGGCCGCCTGAGGACTCCCGTGTACTTGTCTTCTCCTGACGAAGCCTTCGCTTTTTTTTCGGAAGCCAATCCAAAGACTCCGTCTGAACACCCGAAAATTACGAAAGCTTTAACGAGCATACTCGAAAAACATGGCAAAACCGTCGTCCGCTCTTCGACAGGAAATAATTCTGTCTATGACCAGGGAAGGGGAGGACCGGCCAATCCCAGCCGTCCATCGGGCAGGATCTGACGGCATCGGCAACGCCCGTGCAATTAATTTCTGCGATCTCCGCTCGCCATCAGCATCCTTCCGCCCCTTTCCCGATAGGGTCTGCTCCACTACCGGAAGCCTAATGGGCAAGACGTAGCTCTGATACCACCTGTTATGAATTATAGCTCAGAGTATAGCGCAGAATACTATAAGGGGAACGTGATTACAATGTGTCCTATCCAAATGAGACCTAGCGCTTATATAGTGCGAGTTGACCAGGTTGAATGTCGAGGGTTGGACCAGTCAAGGGCTCGTTAGTCCCGAGGGTGACGGGGTCAAAATGGGTTCGGGGTGACTCGGGATCAGGTTGGGGCCGAAAAGGTCGACGGGGGCTGGTTTGGTGCGATAACCAAGGGTCGAGCCTGTGGACATGCATTGTTCGCGGTGTACTCGCTGTGGCGAGCCCCAGTAAGGAATCTTAATTCCTTACAGCGATGCCTGGCGCTATTACAGCAGCGAACACCCGTGGTTACAGCAACTGCGAATACGATTTCTACTTCGACTAAAAATGAAGAAACAAAAAGGAGTCAACGCGCCACGCTCGCTCTCCCAAGGTCGCCCGCGGCGACAAGGAAGTCGTCCCCGCAGCCTCAGACCAGGCCAACAACGACAGTGACTCCGAAGACGAGGCTGGTGAGGCTCCCGCACATAATATTTCTTTCGCACCCATCGAGCACCTCCCACCCCTTCCTTCCTCTAACCCAACCATCCCGGCCTCTTCCTTCGCCAACGCAAGAGTGCGTGAACAAGCGGAGTTCCTAGAAGCCATGCGTGCGTACCTGAAGCATGCAAAGCACAAGGTGCGCCACGGCGACAACTCGGGCGTGCAAAAAATTTTCGACACGGCGTACGCACTTCTCACCAAGCGGTTTGAGCGTTTTCAAGTCGACGACGCCTCAAACTTCAAGACGGCGTATTGATTCAAGCTTTATCAGGAGAAGAGTGTTCTCACTACATGCCCCTTCAAGTAGGCGGTCGCGGACGTGGCGGCCATGAAACGTGCACAAGGCGCCTATGGTCGCGGCAACCCCGTTGGAGGCCACGACCCTATGGGTTTCGGAGGGAAGTTCGGCCCACCACCAAGTGGCGACCAGCGGGGCTTCCGAGGCGCCTGTTTCCGTTGTGGCCAGTCGAGCCATACGGCTAACAACTGCTCAGCCAATGGGCACGGACCCCAAGGGCCCGCACCAGTGGTGTCAGAAGTAAAATCATGTTAATTGTGGACCTTGGAATAGGTGCCACAGCACCGTTTGGTGCGTAGGGCTGCTGGCCATCCCCACGGGGGGAGTAGATTCTAAGGCTGCTGGCTAGACCCTAGGTGGGGAAGAATGTTAGCCAAGGGCCTAGCCCCAAGAGGGGGAAGTGCTTGGACTTAGGAGCCTTAGTAGTGGCAGCCCTTTGAGGTGCCGGTTCTCCTTTTTGTTGTTTTTTTATGTGATACAACCTCGGCGGGGGGAAGGCCAAGATGTACAGGCCCACTCTAGAAGCTCATGTGGTGGGCAAACCAAGATACATTGACATTTTTCATATAAAAAGTTTCTGAAAACGTGTACGAGAATGCTCCTTTCCCAAGGCCCTTGCAATGGGTGCCACGCCTTTGTTTCGAGGCATTGCCATTCTTTATATGGAAATAATTCAAGCCCCTGGAGCTGCCAGCCCACCATGGCTCTCACGCCATTACTCACGATCAATAGCAAAAATGTCTCTCTCAACAAAAGCAAGCACGGCGATCGGCGGCATCGCCCAAAGTTTATAAAGCAAGCATAGCTCGGATAATGAGGTGAGAAACGAGGCATGCAACCAACCCCCTGCCCTCGAAAACCTTTTGCCATTTGTATTACGCCGGAGCGACCTCTGGAGGCATGTGTTGTGAAGCTTGCCCATCTGTGCAGGCACGAGAACGAAAGCGAAAAATATGGTTAGGACCATGCGGGGTAAGAGCGAAAGCGAGAACGGGCAAGGGAGGAAGAGAGAGAGCGAGAGAGAGAGAGAGAGAGAGAGAGAGAGAGAGAGAGAGAGAGAGAGAGAGAGAGAGAGAGAGAGAGAGAGAGGGGGAGAGAGAGAGAGAGAGAGAGAGAGAGAGAGAGAGAGAGAGAGAGAGAGAGAGAGAGAGAGGGTGAGAGAGAGAGAGAGAGAGAGAGAGAGAGAGAGAGAGAGAGAGAGAGAGAGAGAGAGAGAGAAAGAGAGAGAGAGAGAGGGAGAGAGAGAGAGAGAGAGAGAGAGAGGGTGAGAGAGAGAGAGAGGGAGAGAGAGAGAGAGAGAGAGAGAGAGAGAGAGAGAGAGAGAGAGAGAGAGAGAGAGAGAGAGAGAGAGAGAGAGAGAGAGAGTGAGAGAGAGAGAGAGAGAGTGGGAGAAAGAGAGAGGGGGAGACAAAGAGAGAGAGAGAGAGAGAGAGAGAGAGAGAGAGAGAGAGAGAGAGAGAGAGAGAGAGAGAGAGAGAGAGAGAGAGAGAGAGAGAAAGAGAGATGGCAGCCGGCCGCCAGTCGCCAGTCGGCCGTCTGCCACGTGAGTCCCTCGTGCCTTTCGTCCTGTGCCGACAGTCCTAGTGCCTCCTAGCTAGCTTCTTGACGTACTGCTCCTAGTAGACCCTCTCACGCGTACTTCCTCCTCGTTTGCTCCCCACTCCTCCTAGCAGCTCCTAGCCTACCGCCAGCCGTCAGCTAGCCGCTACTGCCATCTTACCGTCACTAGCCACTGCTGCTACTAGCCTTATGCTCGCTGCCACTTCTCCGGCCACAGTCGCCACTGCTATTACCTCCAATTGTACTCCTCTAGCACCTATACCTCCCACTAGTCTCCTCCTCGTTTCTAGAGTTCCTCGACGCCTCTCCTCTCGGCATGATGACTTCGCGCGGAAGACTGGATGTTCTTAATCGACCTGAAGTCCGGGTATCATCACGTCAAGATTCACCCGTCATCCAGGAAATTCTTGGGTTTCCAATTCGAAGGACGCTCATATTGTTTCCACTCCCTTCCGTTTGGATTGGCTATAGCTCCTTTCATCTTCATATAGTTAATCAAACAGCTTGTACGACGCTGGAGAATTGAAGGGAATGCGGGTCATACCGCATGTGGTTGACATCCTCTTCCTTTGTCATTCTGAAGCCAACGCTCTGGGCACCTGCACCCAAATCATTGGTGATTTACGCAGCGCTGGCCTGGTGATCAACGCAAAGAAATCCCAACTTCGTCCTACCCAACATCTGCACTTTCTGGGTTTGGAACTTGACACCAAACTCGGCCAATTCTCAATGGGTTCGGAACAACGCAACTCCTACAACCTACCATCAGTCGCTCTTGGAAGATAAACGCAACCAGTCTAAGGTCCCTGTCCGGCATGTCACGCGTGTTACAGGCATTCTCGCATCAATGACGTTCGCACTCAGGGCCACTGCTCAGGCTTTCAGCCACGCGCTATTGCAGATCATTAATGACGCTTCTACATGGAACAACAAATTCCTGCTGTCGCCTTTCGCTTGCGAGGAGCTGGAATTCTGGTCAACTGAGTTTGGCCACTTCAATGGAGCGCCCTTTCCCGTGCGATGCTGCTACGATGCTATCATTTACGTCGGTGCAAGCGGTCACGGCTGGGGGGGCACTCTTGACACATTCTCCGGCAACATTCGTCAAGCTAGCATAAACATGCCAGTCGATTTGCGACACACTTCCAGCACTCGTCGCGAGTTCGAAGGGGTACTGTGGGCATTGCAGACATATGGCGACCTACTCCTGAACAAAGACGTGCTCGTGCGCGTGGACAATCAGGGAGTTTTCTTCATCTTGAAGAAGGGTGGCCCATGCAGCCCTGATCTCACCCTCGCCTGCAAATCGATCATCCGCCTGTGTACTACCTACGGTGTCCGCCTCACCATGGAATCGATCCCTCGCAAACTCAACACGCACGTGGACGAACTCTCGAAAATACTCGATCACAATGATAACACATTGAAGACGTCGTGGTTCAACCTTCTGGAACGGCGCTTAGGCCCCCACTCCATAGACCTCTTCGTCAACGCTAGCAATGTCAAGCTGAGTTGTTTCTGCTCTGAACACCCACACCCCACAGCCAAAACGATGTACGCCTTCACGATTTCTTGGACGAACGAACACGATTTCGCCTTCCCACCACCCCATTTAATCTCCGCAGTCCTCCACCATGCACAACGCACATGCGCATCTCTTACTCTCGTCGTTCCCCACTGGCCCGACGCTATCTAGTGGCCGCTCCTCTAACCCTCACCTCCCGCCTGGGCTTGCCACACCAAATCTCACATCCAACTCACGCACGGTAGCCAAAGCCTAACGCCAGGCTCTCATACTAGCGCCTTTTCCGGCTCCGGTCTGCTAATAGCCTCATGCTCGCTCTGCAAGTCCTGTTACCCTAATGCATCTCCCTCTGCGTCTACCAACCAGACCTCATTCCAACCCTGCAACGCCAACTGCTCTCCGTCATGGCACAAACACGTGCAGACTCTACAATCCGAACTTACGAACCTTATTGGCAGCAGTCTCGTTCCTTCTACACCAAGGCTACTTGTCGTTCCTGCCATCGTTGGACATGACGCAAACCCTGTACCTCGCCTACGCCATTCGAAATAAGGCCACTCTTTTGGTGATCCAACTTAACTGCTCCGCCGTCAGCTTTGCACACAGCATGATTGGGGCACCTTGCCCTTCACGACACAAGTTAGAGAGTTTGCAAAGCGACGATGCCTCCGACCCAACCAAACCAAGGAACCGGTCTCTCTGCACCAAGTGCACGCGATGGCTTCTCATTTTATGAGCGTTGAAGACACAGCTACATTTTAGAAAGGTCTCATTCCACTCCTCATGTACGCGGGATTTCTGCGCTACTCCGACCTCGTGGCCATCAACTGGGAGGACATTCAGTTCGAGGACGACGTGATGTGGCTGCTCATCCTGTGCTCCAAAACGGACCAGGCAGGCCAAGGCGCTTGGATTCCAGTTGCCGCAGTTCCAGGACCCCTTTGCTCTGTGCGGTGCACCAAGTGCTTCATCCGTTTGGCGGGCTACAAGCTCAGCACCCCGGGACCCTTAATCCGAGTGTTCAGGACTGCACCAGGTGGTGCCGTCACCAGCAAGCCACCATCATACCCCACAATACACAATTGGTGCAAGGAGGCATTTCACACCATTGGCCTCGGCGAACACCATCTCGGCACCCACTCATTCCGCAAAGGTGCCGCGACTGTCGCCGCCCATGGAGGCGTAGCGGACCGGTTTTTCAAACGTCTTGGCGCATGGCGCAGTGACAAGGCAAAAGAGATGTACGTCACACCCGCTGGCGACCAACTAGTGTCGGTCTCCTGCGAGGTACAGACCCTTACGTCGGCGTTGTCACCTGCACAACATTCTCAAGCGCTCGCGCGCCACTGGTGAACGTCCCTGCCCATGTCTCAGCTCAGCCCCGTGAAATGAGAACGATGCCAATTGCACTACAGTAACAAGAAGCAAGCTTTCTCAATTTAGTGCTTTGAGGTTGGCCTACAATATTACAGGCATTGGTACAGAAGGGGAGTCGTGGGCAGGCCCTCAGATTGGTGTAGGGAGGGCTGATGACTCAGGGTCGCCCTTGTGAATGCCCATAGTTTTCAGGGTCGGGGTCTGGCTGTGGCACATTTTGTCAGGCCTAAAATTTTTGAAATCTGACGAATCGGGCCTATGCTTTGGGTAAGCCTGTTTTGGGACGGTGTGGGGGAAACGCCTGATTTAGAGGGGGGTACATGTGGGCAAGGGTCAGGATCATAGCAGGGTCACGGTGTAATGATAGCGCAATTATTACGCTTCATCGAACTGACACCCTTTGGAATACTTTTGTCACCGCACTAAATCTCTTTGCAACCCGTGAACACTTGATCCTGAGGTCGCGATCCTAGCTCCTGACCCTAGATAACCGTCTCATGTACCCTGCTCTTGGGGCTCACGATTGGTTTTTCGATATCCTGCAGCTTCAGGGGCCATCCGAAAACATTTCAGATTTGTCTGCATTCTCTCGCGCTTCCCAGTCGGTTTAGTTCCAAGTTTCTGTCTGGAATGCTTACAGGTTTTAGTATGGGGCTCGAAATCAATATTATATCCGACTGGTTTCGAAATCTACCCAGGATATATGGGAAATGGTGTGACGCCGTCGAGGCTATATTAGGAAATTCCGAGAACATCTAGGAATATGATGGAATTTTGACAAAACTCCAAACATTTACCTATCAACCGTGAGCCCTCGCGATGCGTCATGCCAGCACGCATGACGGTGTGATGGCAATAAAGTACAGTACATATGAATTCTTGCCGGAGCTTGTGACGGTGGCAGAAATACCACAGCTCCACCGCTGATTGGTTGTACTGTATTTTACCTGTATAAGAACTAAGTCAAGGACTAATCATGCAAGAGACACATGTCCCTCCCAGTACAACCTCAGTGCTGCAGGTAAATTTGGCCAATGACCACAAAACTCTCCTCTTACGTGTTCTATCGCGACTCCACTTCGATCCGTGATTTTGGTCAAGGACCATTCACGCCCCTCACACGTGCTCCAACATTCAGAGTTCCGACCCCATTCCAGGCGTGACTACCTGTTGTTGTGATGTCATCATATGCTATCACATTCTGTCTGCCTCCCATCCCATGTTTTTCAACTTGCATGTGTGGTTTGAATGTGCAAGCATTTGTGTGTGGTGTGTTCTGGAGTTTGGGAATGTGTTCTGTGTTATTTTTGTTTGAGCAGGTATTTGTGATAATAGATCTTGAGAAGATCTTTCCGACGCAACAAGAATCGCTTCAATCGGAGCAAGAACGCGAAAGCTATGAAGATTCAAAGTTCATGAGCTTGCGTTACAATTGCGGCGGTTACAAAGTGAAGTTGTGGGGTGACTCTATATGGAGTTGGGACCTTTGGGGTTGGGGAAATTTGTCACTCTACTGTAACAGCTGCAAATTGGTTGGGAACAACCAAGCTAGGTTGGCAAGGGTGGCCAACTTGGATGGATTGGTTGGGAAGGGACAAAGGTCAAAGTTGAGGTTCCTATAGGGAGGGAATCTTTGTGCTTATGGGGTTTCCTTGGTTGGGGACTCTCTTGGGACCTTCCCTCTCGTCCCTCTCTTTCTATCCCAACCTTTCTCTTGCTCCTTCTAATTCCTTGTGAGATTCTTGAACTTTGATTGAACTCTTGAGATTGAGTTAAGTTCTCCTCCTACAGCTTACCCCCTAGTGCGTCGAAAGCCATAGCGTCGCGAATACTTCATCAATCAACGTGATTCAAATTGGGAACGGTAGCTGAGATCAAGAGCTACAACATATCCAAGTTTCGCGACATTCCAACGGCTAGGTTTTCGTCGACGTCGTTTCTTGTGAAGACGACTTTTCTGTCCAGAATTTCGGATTTATATTTTGAGTAATTCTAGCTCCTAAGTTCACCTAGACTCCGTCCTTAATCCTAACAAGTGGTATCAGAGCGATATTAAGGACATTGAGAGGAGTCTACAGAAGTGTGAAGACCCTTCTAGACCCACCATGGCCTGTGGGTGTGCCTAAGTGGTGTTCTAAAGGTTGGATGTGTCTTCCGCTAAGGGGAAACTCTGCCGAAATTTCGTGGACGGCGACACTTGTGAAAATATCGAGGGAGCTGAGTGTGGACAGCAAAGGGGAGCTGAAATTCGTCATTTCTCAAGGAGAAGATGAATGAGAGAGGAGGAGATGCTAATGGAAGAGGAGCTGTAGCTGAGAAGGCAAGTGAGCCGCCGCCATCAAAAGTTGAAGCTTTGGATGGCTCCAACTATGAGGAATGGAGCGGACGGATGAGGAGTGCCTTCAAACGCTACAAGCTACTGAAGATTGCTGTTGGGGAAGAGAAGATGCCGGAAGAAGGCGAAGCACGTGAACGGTGGATTGAGAAAAGCGCGGTGCTTTTCGACCTCATTCTTCAATCGGTCAACAAGGAGATGTTCGAGCACATCAAGGATCTTGTGGAAGCGGATGATTCGGGTCCAAGGGCGTGGAAACTACTACGCGATGTGATTCAGCCCAACACTCTCCCGATGGTGATCGTGCTCGAGAAGGAACTTGCTGCCATCTCCATGCGACCAGGGGACGATGTGAAGCCGGTCCTTGACAAGATCAAGGACACCTATGCAAGGATGGCAGCAGCGGGCAGCAGTGTATCTCAGCTGCAGCAGTGCACCAAGATCATCTCGGTGTTGGACAACTCTTGGGACAACCTCATCCCCACCCTCAACTCTCAGCAAGATCAATGGACACCTGAGTGGCTAAGGCAGCAGATTCTGCAGGAGGACTTCCGCAGACGCCATGTGGGAGGCGGTGCTGCCACTAAGACTGCTGAGGGGTATGGAGCTGCAGGGCGCGGCAGAGGAAGAGGGGGTTGGAGAGGCCGAGGCCGTGGGAGGAGCTTTGGCAGAGGTAGAGGCCGAGGTGACTATAATGAGGGGCATGGGAGCTCTAGTGGCAGGGGGAGTACCAGAATGGAGGGCACCTGCTGGTACTGCAAGAAGATAGGGCATCCTTGGTTCAAGTGCTTCAGCAGGCCGGAGGGATGGGCACCTCCAGGCATGAAGCCGCCCAGTGGTGAACGCGCACAAGGTGGCGCTGTGCAAGGCTCAGGTGCACAAGGTGAAGGTGCACAAGGTAATGCCTATCCTGGTTTGTTTCTTATGGTTGAGGATGTGCATGGGCATGAGGGTGATGTGGGATCTGTGGGAAAGGTTGTGATGCACCCTCTCACGCACTGGGTGATTGATTCGGGTTGCACCAGTCACATGACCCCACGGGCAGATTTGCTTGATGAGGTAAAACCCCCTGGGAAGATCAAGTATGTGGCAGCAGCGTCAGGTGCTTTGCTCCCTGTGATTGGTGTTGGGAATGCCAAGGTTAAGGGAGCTAATGGGGAGCTTGTGGGGCTTGGGAATGTTCTGCTGGTTAAAGGCTTGTCTGCTAACCTTCTCTCTGTGCGGCGACTGCAGAAGAGCAAGGCCGAAGTGACCTTTGGACCAACCAGCTGCCGTGCTAAGCTTGGGAAGAAGGTGCTGTGGAGTCTGGAAGAGGAGACCAGCTGCATCAAGGACCTGTGGCAGCTGCCCATCATCCCTTGGAATGGGAAGACTCCAACACAGCAACGGCAGCAGCGGCAAAGGCAACAGCAGGAGGAGATGCAACTGCACCAACTGATGGGGTCCTGGAAGCAGTCAAGAAAGTGCAGAAGCAGCAGACACATGGTGAGGTGCTTGCTGGTGTGGATGCGAGTGCGGCATGGGCTAAGGCTTCATCAAGGAGTGGAGAGGCCGATTGGGAGACATGGCATGAGAGGCTGTGTCATGTGAACTTCCCTATGCTGCAGAAGTTGGTGAAGGATGGGAGCCTGAAGGGCTTGGAGGTGAAAGGGGAGTGAAGGAGATTGGGAGCTGCCCTACATGCTTGGAGACCAAGTTCTCCAAGTTCCCCTTCAACAGCACTACAGGACCAGCCAAGACCCCACTTGCACTTGTGCACATGGATGTGGTGGGGCCCACAAGAGCCCCTTCCCTCTCAGGCAGCCGCTATTTCTTGACAATTGTGGATGACCACACTCGGGCAGTGTGGGTTTACCCTTTGAAGAGCAAGGGGGAGGTGGCAGCGGCTGTCCTTAAGGAGTGGATGCCTAGAGCTCAGAGGGAATGCGGACACAAGGTGAAGGTGATCCGCAGTGACAATGGTGGGGAGTTCATTGGAGCTGATTTTGAGGGGGAGTTGAAGAGGAAGGGGATCCAGCATCAACTGACAGTGCCCTACAACCCGCAGCAGAATGGCGTGGCTGAGAGGTTCAACAGGACCCTGCAGGAGGGGGCACGCACTCTCCTTGGGCGTGCAGGGCTGCCTGATCCGTTTTGGGTGTCTGCACTGAGGCAGGTCGCCCTTGTGAAGAATAGGGTGCTGGCTACAGTTGGAGATAAGGAGTGGATCCCATATGCCAAGTGGTATGGGAGTGCTCCAGCTGGTGAACATGCTGAGGGCATTTGGGTGCATGGTGGTGTTTCATGTGCCCAAGGAGAAAAGGGGGAAGTTGGAGGCTTCTGGAAGATGGGGTGTGCACTTGGGGATTGCAAAGGATCACAAGGGGTGGCTGCTATGGGACCTGACCACCCAGAAGCTGACAGTGTCAAGGGATGTGAAGTTTCTTGAGTCCCTGTACTATAAGGAATGGAAGCAGCAGCAACAGAAGCTTCCATCTACACCGCTCATTGTGGAGGCAGATGAGGTGCAGCAGCCTTCAAGCAGGTGGAGGTTGCAGTGGCTGAGGAGGAGATGTCTGGGGTGACTGAGGAAGGGGGAGCAGCTGAAGTGGAGCAGCAACAGCACATGAGTCTCCACCTCGAGTTCCACACCCGCCTGAGCGTCCTAGGAGGGATGTGCGCCCTCCTGTGAGGCTGACCTATGGGGGAAGAGGCAAGCCAATGTGGTGCAGGCTGGGAGTGTGGTTGAGCAGATTGAGGAAGATGAGATCGCTCACTGCTACTGGGCACCAATCCCTGAGTACATGGCCTTACACCATGGGGCCAAGGAAGTAGTGTGGCTAAGGCGTTTGTTGGAGGAGTTGGGAGTTGGTCAGGAGAAGCCGACAGTTGTGTTTTGTGACAATGAGTCCGCTGTGAAGCTCGCCAAGAATGCTTGTCTGCATGGGCTGACAAAACACATAAGGCCTAAGTGGCATTGGGTGAGGAGAATCCTTGATAAGGAGGTGCGGCTGGAGATAGTGAAGACCCATCAGCAGGCAGCAGATATTTTCACTAAGCGTCTGGCGGAGGCGGATCATTGGAAGGGCATGAAGCTTGCTGGGATGAGTGTGCATTGAGTATGCATGCTTGAGATGTGGTATGGTGGTTGATGGTTGGCAGCCAGAGGGGGAGATTGTTGTGTGATGTCATCATATGCTATCACATTCTGTCTGCCTCCCATCCCATGTTTTCAACTTGCATGTGTGGTTTGAATGTGCAAGCATTTGTGTGTGGTGTGTTCTGGAGTTTGGGAATGTGTTCTGTGTTATTTTTGTTTGAGCAGGTATTTGTGATAATAGATCTTGAGAAGATCTTTCCGACGCAACAAGAATCGCTTCAATCGGAGCAAGAACGCGAAAGCTATGAAGATTCAAAGTTCATGAGCTTGCGTTACAATTGCGGCGGTTACAAAGTGAAGTTGTGGGGTGACTTTATATGGAGTTGGGACCTTTGGGGTTGGGGAAATTTGTCACTCTACTGTAACAGCTGCAAATTGGTTGGGAACAACCAAGCTAGGTTGGCAAGGGTGGCCAACTTGGATGGATTGGTTGGGAAGGGACAAAGGTCAAAGTTGAGGTTCCTATAGGGAGGGAATCTTTGTGCTTATGGGGTTTCCTTGGTTGGGGACTCTCTTGGGACCTTCCCTCTCATCCCTCTCTTCTATCCCAACCTTTCTCTTGCTCCTTCTAATTCCTTGTGAGATTCTTGAACTTTGATTGAACTTTGAGATTGAGTTAAGTTCTCCTCCTACAGCTTACCCCCTATGCGTCGAAAGCCATAGCGTCGCGAATACTTCATCAATCAACGTGATTCAAATTGGGAACGGTAGCTGAGATTAAGAGCTACAACATATCCAAGTTTCGCGACATTCCAACGGCTAGTTTTTCGTCGACGTCGTTTCTTGTAAGACGACTTTTCTGTCCAGAATTTCGGATTTATATTTTGAGTAATTCTAGCTCCTAAGTTCACCTAGACTCCGTCCTTAATCCTAACACTACCCAGGAGAGGGGGGGAGGGGGGGGGGGGGGGGTGGCGGGGGGTTCTGTTTGAGGCCGAAAACTCGTTAAGGATGATTGATCAGGGTACACAAAACAAGAACATACTAAAAAACAAGCCTACCAAAATGGGAACCCCTTAAAATCAGGACAAGTGAAAAACAAAAGCTGAAAAATCAGGCCGACCCCTGGAAAACACCTTGATATACAGGCTTTTATGCCCTTTTGGCTTGACATATGAGGCCCTGGTCGTGGGTGTGTTACTTCGCAGTTTTACGCGAATGCATTCCCTGAGATTTTGTACCAGATTTCCATGGTTCATGTTGTCAATAAATATATTTATATAGATTAGTTAGGTCATATTTTTTTATAGCCTATCTGGTTTAGTTCTTAGCGAGTACAGCCCTAGTTTTATATCCCTAGACATTTTCCCTTAGTCCATAAATTTTCCCCCGCTCTAACATGGTATTGAGCTAGTTTGTTTGTTTTTTTTTTTGGTTTTTGTTTTTGTTTTTGTTTTGTTTTTTTTTTTTTTTCCGCATGTGATACTCTTTCCATTTCGCGCACCCCCCTGCCCTCCAACTCCGCGCTTCGTAGCCTCAAGCCCCCCCTCGTAGTGTTCAATTTGTTCGTGCTGTAGTCAGCAAGCCAGCCGCCAGCCAGCATGCTAGCGAGCTCGCCAGCCAACGCTCCAGCTAGCTAGCCAGCCCGTTAGCCAGCTCGCTAGCCAGCTCACTAGCCAGCCCGCGCCCACCAGCGCCTTAGTTCGTAGCCGTCCCACCTCGCGCCAGCCCACCTGCTCGCCAGCCCGCCAGCCTGCACGCTCGCCAGCTCGCACGCTCGCCTGCTCGCCCGCTCTCCTGCCCGCCTCCTCACTTGCTCGCTTGCCCGCCAGCCCGCCTGCTCGCCAGCCCGTCTGTTCGCCTACTCGCCAGCCTGCCAACTCGCCTGCTCGCCAGCTGGCACGCTCGCAAGCCCGCCTGCTCGCCAGCTCGCCTGCCTGCCAGCCCACCTGCTCGACAGCTCGCACCCTTGCCTGCTCTCTAGCCCGCCTGCTCGCCAGCCCGCCAGCCCGCCTGCTCGCCAGCTCGCACGCTCGCTTGCTCACTTGCTCGCCTGCCCACCACCCCAAATGCTCGCCAACCCACCTGCGCGCTTGGTCGTCTGCTTGCCCGCTCGATTGCTCACCAGCCTGCCTGCTCGCCTGCATGCCAGCAGCGCCAGCAGCCAGTGCTAGCAGCCAGCAGCCAGATCACTAGCTCACCAACACCACCAGCGCCAGCTTGCCAGCGCCAGTAGCCAGCACCAGCTAGCTCGCTAGCGCCAGCCAACGCCAGCAGCCCGCAGTGCCAGCAGCCAGCGCCAGCAGCCAGCACCATCAGCCAGCAGCCAGCAGCGCCAGCAGCCAGCAGTGCCAGCAGCCAGAAGCGCCAGCAGCCAGCGCCAGCAGCCAGCAGCAGCTTGCTGACTCACCAGCGCCACCAGCGCCAGCAACCAGCAGCCAGTGCTAGCCGCTAGCCGCCAACAGCACACTACCAGCAACCAGCAGCCCACTACCAGCAGCCAGCCGCCAGCGCCGGCTGATGCCACCCATTGCCACTACCACAGCTACTACTGCCTGCTGCTTCCTACAGCCGCCCACTATCGTTGCAGCCTCCACTACTGCAGCAACTGCTGCCGCCACTGCAGCCGCTGTCGCTACAGTAGCCTCTGCCGCTGCAGCCGCTGCTACTACTCTTGTCGTCGCTGCTGTTGCCCACCGTCAGCTTCGGCCTCCAGCAGCCGGCCACCTGCCACCAGCACCAGTCACCAGCCGCCAGCAGCCGACCACTGACCCTCAGTCGTCAGCTGCCAGCTGCCACCACTCGCGGCCGGCCGCTGACCACCAGCCGCCAATGGCAGCCGGCCACCAGTCGCCAGTCGGCCATCTGCCACGTGAGTCCCTCGTGCCCTGTGGGCTATCCTTCGTCCTGTGCCGACAGTCCTAGTGCCTCCTAGCTAGCTCCTTGGCATACTGCTCCTAGTAGACCGTCTCACGCGTACTTCCTCCTCGTTTGCTCCCCACTCCTCCTAGCAGCTCCTAGCCTACCGCCAGCCACCAGCTAGCCGCTACTGCCATCTTACCGTCACTAGCCACTGCTGCTACTAGCCTTATGCTCGCTGCCACTTCTCCGGCCACAGTCGCCACTGCTATTACCTCCAAATGTACTCCTCTAGCACCTATACCTCCCACTAGTCTCCTCCTCGTTTCTAGAGTTCCTCGACGCCTCTCCTCTCAGCATGATGGCTTCGTTTGGGTCAGTCCCTCGGCCAAACCGCAGGGCAGTTCCCTCCGCTCTCCAATTTCTCGCAAACCGTCTACACCTCGTGAGCCCGCACCTAGACTTCTAGCTCCACGACCTCGACGTCTGCTTCCGGGCTCTCTGGCCAGTGCCACAGCCGCAACAGCAACAGCAATAGCGGCAGTAGCAGCAGCAGCCGCAGTGGGGTCTTGGGGGTGCCGAGCGAGGTGGAGGCTCTGGAGGTGCTGCTCTGGGGCGGTCACTACCCTGGGGCTAGTGTGGTTTCTCTGGAGGACCGGGGTCCATGGGGCCTAGGGATCTAGGTCCCACCACTGTGTCTAGTCTAGGAGCCTCTACTATGTGTCCACTAGACTCCTCCCCTACCCCTCTCGCGGCGGCCCTCTCTTCTGTCCTTGACTCGGACGCGTCTCGTTGTTTCTTTAGGGACACCACTGCTCTCACCCATCTTCCTGTTCCCGTCCGCGCCGCACTTGCAGACTCCTCCGCCACAGCTGTCGCACGTAGCACCACCACTCTCCCCTATCCAACTGTCCCCTCCGGCTCCCTTACCGGTCTGCACATCCCCTCGTTTGCCAGGAAACTAGTAGGTGTCGGTCACCTTCAGGACCGAGCCATCACCAATATGTTCCCTCGCCGCGAGAGACACGCCGCTTGCACAGACACAGCCACCGGTCGGCACTTAGCCACGTTTGTGTGTGACCCAGGGTCCGATCACTTTACACAGCATACTGAGTCCCCACCGACTGCTGCGTCTGCCGCGGTTGTCGCGTCCTCCTCGTGTCGTTCCATAGGACACCCGACCCTATTATGGCACCACCGCTTAGGTCCCCCTACACTCCCGCGTCTTTGGCACATGTCCCAGCACGGTCTCGTCACTAGTCTCCCTACATCGCTCCCCGCCCTGCCTCCGTTGGTAGCGCCACTGTGCACGTCCTGCGTCGAGGGCCGGCAGCGCGCCGCCGCCCACTCCTCCTTGTTTCCTCCTACCAGAGCACCGCTACTGACACTCCACATGGACGTCTAGGGCCCTTCCCCGGTCCATGGTCTGAGTCGAGAGCGCTACATTCTAGTCGCCGTTGGTGACTTCTCGCGCTTCACCACAGTGTTCCCGTTGGAGCGGAAGGCCGACGTGCCTACCGTTCTCCTCCCATAGCTTCTCATTGTTTGCACCCACCACCGCCTACCTATAGGTCGCTTACACTCTGACCGAGGTGGTGAGGTCGCCCCTGGCACTCTAGGACGGTTCTGTCGTGTGGAGGGCATCCGCCAGACGTACACACTGCTGGGCTCTCCACAGCAGAATGGGGTCACTAGGCGACGCATCGGTCTGATCATGGAGGTGGCTCGCACCTCCATGGTCCATGTCGGTGCACCCCATTTTCTGTGGCCGTACGTCATGCGCTACACTGCTCAACAGCCTGTGGCCGCACTCCCAACGGCCACAGGATTCGCCGACCCTCCTCTGGACCTAGTCTCTTGGTGACGCGTCTGCGTTCCACGTCTGGGGGAGCCTTGCTCACGTCTGCGACACTGGCACGGACAAGCTCTCAGCCCGCACCCTTCCTTGTGTTTCCTCCCCCAGCCTCGGTACCCCAGGCACCTCAGCCGCCTCCTCCATTGCCTCAATAGCAGCAGCCGGCTCAGCGGTCGCAGCAGCAGCAACAGGGAGCCCTGGGCTCTACGGGTGCTCATTCTAGGGGTTCTGGTGTTGGGGGTGTTGGTGTTGGTAGAGTTGGTGTTGGGAGTGCTGTTCTGGAGGTGCGAAATCTGGGGGTGCGAAATCTGGGGGTGCTAGTCGTGGGGGTGCTTTTTCGCGGTGTGCCGGTGGCAGCCGCAGAGCCACTGGTGGTCCTAGAGAGGACAGGGAGCCATTGCACCCACAGCAGGAGCAGCAGCAGTCTGCCCTTTGTCTCCTTGGTCTTGCTCTAGGTTCCCCTGTTCGCTCGCCCGTTCCCCCTCTAGTACATGACCCTGTTTATGGCCCGTTGTTTCCTCCTCCGGACTCCTCTCCGGCTTGTTTTCCCCCGCGCTCCCCTCCGTCCCCTAACCTGTCCCCCGTTCCTCCTCGTCCCCTGTCCCCAGCTCTTCCCCACTGGGTCTGTCGCCCCTCTGGTGCTCGTCCTGTCACTCTCTGTCCTAGTGTCCACCCTATGGTCCTTCATTCGAGTGCTCTTCTAGTCACAATCCTCCTGCTGCCTCCCCCGTCGTCGCTCCCGTCGTCCCCCCCTCCTCGTTCCGACGCTGCTCGCACTGCTCGTCCTACCCTCTCGCGCTTGCTTGCGTCGCTTGTCACTGACCCTACTGCACCTCTTGAGTCTGTCTCTGCACTTGTCGCTGCAGTCCCTGACTTCGTTGTTAGCCACCGCCTTGACTACGCTGCCGCTCTAGTCTCTGGTACTGCCCGTCCTCCGTCCATCGGGGGTACACCTGCCCTTGGCAGTGACGTCCTAGAGGACATGCAGTACGAGTTAGCCTCCCTTGCTGCTGCTGTTCCCCATCTCTGCTCCATGCTTGTATCCCCAGAGGGCGACCCAGATACTCTCGACATCCCTGTTCCTCGCTCTTACGCCGAGGCGCTGTCGGGGCCTTGGCCAGCCCTGTGGATACAAGCCATGGAGGCTGAGATGGCATCCTACAGACCCACAGGCACTTACGTCGACGCAGTTCCCCCGCCTTGGGCGAATGTAGTCGATGGCATGTGGATCCACAGAGTGAAGCGCGCACCTGGAGAGCCACCGAAGTTCAAGGCGCGTTACGTGGCTAGGGGCTTCAGTCAGCGTGAGGGTATGGACTTCTTCCAGATCTTCTATCCGACCCTGACGATGACTACACTTCGGGTCCTTCTTCACATAGCCGCGCAGCATGACTACGCACTTCACTCACTCGACTTCTCCACAGCGTTCCTGCAGGGTAGTCTGCACGAGTGGAGCCTGCGCCATCCTGTATACGGCCTTCGTTAGGCATCCCGTGAGTGGCACGACACGCTTCGCACCACTCTTGCTAAGCTGCAGTTCTTTCCGTCCTCTGCTGACCCCTCTCTCTTTGTTCGCATGGGTCAGACATCGTTCTACATTCTAGCGTACGTAGACGATCTTATTTTTGCTACTCCTGACAAAGTCGCACTGGCCTCAATGAAGGCTGAGTTACTTAGGAGACACACCTATACAGTTTTGGGGGAGCTGAGGCACTACCTGGGCTTGCACGATCACCCTCTTCCAGTCCTATATGGTGCAGAGATCCTCTAGAGGTTCAGTCTCCAGTTCTCCTCAGCACAGCCCACCCCTCTGCCTCTGGATCACAAGCTCTCTACTCCTGTTCCGGCTGAGCTGGTCGAGGCTAGTGGTCCATACGCAGAGCTCGTGGGGTGCCTCATGTACCTGATGACCTGCACTCGACCAGATCTAACGTACCCTCTCAGTCTCCTGGCTCGCTTTGTTGCGACAGGCAGGCACCGACCAGTCTACTGGTCAGCTGCCAAGAGGGTATTGCAGTATCTGGCAAGTACATTTGGACTGGGGCTTGTGTTAGGAGGACGGGAGCCAGTGTTGCTCACTGGACACACAGACGCGTCGTGGGCTGACGACGTGGAGACGCTCACAGTCTCATGGCTACTGTTTTAGTTTTGGTGCTGGTGCGGTCTCGTGGAGGTCCACTAGGTCGTCGTCTGTAGCTCAATCCAGTTGTGAGGCAGAGATCTACGGTGGGGCCATGGCCGCTCAGGAGCTCCGCTGGCTGACTTTCTTGCTCACTGACTTAGGTGAGCAGCCTAGGTCTGCCCCGAACCTGTTTGCTGACAACACGGCCATGATCCTCCTTTGTCAGGAGGTTCGACTTGAGGGCAAGGCGAGGACATCCAACTGCGGTACTTCCTGCTGCGTGAGTTGCAGCAGCGCGGTCAGGCTCGAGTGGTACAGATGGCCTCAGAGGCCAACACCGCTGATATCTTCTCCAAGGCACTTGCGCCTCGTGACCATCAGCGATTCTGTACTTAGCTTGGTCTCGTCTCCATAGTAGCACCACTCCTTGTACCTCAGTCATACTATACCTGCTTGTACTTGTTGTTCTATACCTGCTTGTCTTGCTACACTTGCTGACTAGCCTTGTGGCCTCTTATCTCAGTGGTCAGACTAGTAGTGCTGCCCTGAGTTGCTTGGTTGCCTTTATGAGAGGTCAGACTAGTAGTGCTGCCCTGGTGTACTCTGCCTTATTATGAGCTGCCACTATCTAGGCTAGGGGGTGTGTCAACAAATATATTTATATAGATTACTAGGTCTGTTAAAATTATATAAGTTATAATTTATATAGGCTTGGTAGGTTGTTACTGAACCTTTTCTGTAGAGGGTACAAACCCCTCCTTGTACTCCTCTCTCTTCCTAATCCAACCCTCTTTTCCTCTCCTCAACTTTCCTAGCACCTAAAACCTCTCGCCATTCTCATGGCTCCTCCTAGCTCCTAGCTAAACCTTGTGCCATTCTATGGCTTCCTAGCTAAGCTAGTCTTTTGACAAGGTCATGTTTGTTTATAGCCTAGCTAGTTTAGTTCTTCGCTAGTACAGCCCTAGTGTTGTATTCGTCGACATTTTCCCTAAGTCCATCACTTTTCCCGCTGCTTAACACATGTGTCGTGTCCTGTGTTCCTCTATGGCTAGCTGTCTGCTGTGACACATGGAGTGATACGTTCAAGCTTGCATGGTACATTCGTAGTGATCACACCTTATTCAAACCAACAGACACTCGGAAGACTTTCAGCTCAATATGGTGGGATCGGCCTGTCGCATATCTTGCCACTGACCAGGCGTCACTCTCATCTCATGCGTCTAGAAGCTTTGAGGTGATAAGATGGTCGATTTCTGATGCAAGCCTGCAAAATACACAAGTGCAAGGAGGGGAGTGACGGAACTAGACAGAATTGACGAAAGAGGCTGTGAAAACATGGACTTGGTTTCGCTGACTGACTGAGACATTTAGTCTACCAACCCGGTTGGATTGGACGGTGGATGTAAACCCATCTTACCTGTGAAATGGCACTGTTACAGTACAAATATAGCAATAACACGTACACATCTGTCAGTAGTATGTCCACTGAAAATCATATCGTTTAAAGCTCCCCGATGTCCATGATCACACCCTTTTACCCCAAGATATTCTCCACCTGTTATAACCTTTGCTCGTTACAATCACTACCTGTTGAGTGGCAGGCCCATGAAATTGAAGTAGCACCCGTTTATTGCCTTCACCAGACACCCTCCCAGCCCCTGAATCCCTGGTATGATCACCACCCGTTACAATCCACCTCGTTACAAACACATCTCGATACAATCACTACCTGTTGAGCGGCAGGCCCATGACATTGAAGTAGCACCCGTTTATTGCCTTCACCAGACACCCTCCCAGACCCTGAATCCCGTACGCCCCTGCCTTGTCCATCGGCTCCCCTGTTGCCACATACGCCTCTATTTCTGCTGGGGAGAGTTGCGCGAACTCAACCTGAAAGCGGGAATGAAGGCAGGAGGGGAAAGAAGAAAGCAAGGATGGACGGAAATTCGTGCCTGCCCTTTCGGCTCTTCTGTTGCCACGTATGCTTCTATTTCTACAGGGGAGAGTCGAGCAAACTCAACCTGCCGGGAGGAGAGGGAGCATCAGCAAGTAAGGAAGTAGTAGTCACTGTGATCGATCATCCACCTCTGTTGGAGATGGCTGTGCAAGCAATCTCTACATATTCGAGTGGAGGAGTCTATTTCTTAAGGGCCTCTTCTTTTTTTCTTTCTATCTTTCTGAGGTGCCTCACGAGTAGTCAGTGTGATGCATCGTCCACCTCTGCTGGAGATGGCTGTGCAAGCAATCTCCACATGTTCGAGTGGAGGCTCAGAAGGGGATGCGTGAACCAGTGAGGATGCTTCTGATCCATTAAAACCAAAAGGAGAGCAAGAATGCACAAGAAGCGAAGGTGAAAATGCATACGTGATTTTGGAAGAAGTAAAAAAAGAGAGAACGTGCCTGAGTGCACTCGTGAAAGGACCGGAGCAGAGGCGATCGGCCAATCAGAGGGTCTGATCAAATTGGGGTAGGGAGAGTAGGAATAGGGAGGGGGGAAGGGAGAGTAGGAATAGGGGAGGGGGAAGGGAGAGAGGGAGAGGATAGGGAACAAGGTGGGGAGTGTGAGCGCAAAAGATATGTAACTGGCATTTGTATTATTTTTTCCGATTCAACCACCACAGTCATGTAGATGAAAACTGTACCAGAACTATAAAAGTGTACACTGTAGCAAAGGAACACGAGGGCTGTACCAAAGAAGCACTGTTCATATCTCACCAGTGACAGCTGGCAGCACAAGAGCAACGCCCGTGAAAACCCTGTGCTTTCGACCTGTGGGGGAGGGAGATGATATGCGGGTGATGAGGGATGATGCGGGGATGACAGGAGAGGGGTGCTTTTCAGTCGGCTCAAAAGCCCTGTGCTTTCGACCTGATTGGGGGGAGATGATATGAGGGTGATGAGGGATGATGCGGGCATGGCAAGAGGACAGAGGTGATAGGAAAGCGTTGGGGGGGGAGAGTGTGAAAGAGGAAAGCGAAGAGGAGGCAGAGGATGAGACAGCGCTGCATCTGTTTGTCTGTCTGTCCACGTGTGTGTGTGTGTTTGTTGGGGGAGGGGGGGGGGGGGGGGGGGGGGGGGGTGGGGTATGTGGGTATGTGTGCATGCGTGTGTGTATGTGTGTGTGGGTGGGTGTATGTGTAGGTGTGTGTGTGTGTGGGGGGGGGGGGGGGGTGAATGTGTGTATGTGTATGTGTATGTGTATATGTATATGTATGTGTGTGTGTGTGTGTGTGTGTGTGTGTGTGTGTGTGTGTGTGTGTGTGTGTGTGTGTGTGTGTGTGTGTGGGTGTGCATGAGGGTGTGTGGGTGTGCAGCATGGGTCAACTCAATGCACACCTGAGAGCAGAGAGAGCATGCGGATTGCATCCTCCTTAGAAGCGGGCTTCTCCAAAAGCTCACCCTGCACACTTATACATTTAGGACGGAGAAGAAAATCACCAAAGGAAAGAAAGGAAGGGGCAGCGTGCGAGATGAAAATGAGAATCACGGATTACGACCGCTCCGCTCCACTCACATCTATTTCTACCACAGTGTCGGCAGCTATCGCCAAGAACACTCAGCCATGTGAGCTGGGCGACCTGCAGGTAGGAAGACACTTACAGCAGTGCAGTAACCTACTTAACCACGCATTTCCCACCCACTCACATCAATTTTTCACCCACTCACATCGATTTCCCACCCACTCACATCGATTTCCCACCCACTCACGTCGATGTCCCACCCACTCACATCGATTTCCACCACAGTGTCAGCAGCAATCACCAGCGTGGGTGCTGCCTCCCCAGTCTCCTGCGAAAGGAATGCGATGATGAGTGGGAGGAGGGAGAGGAGCGAGATGGGTGTGGTGTGCTGCTGTATGCGTGTGCTTTTGAGTCGACTCAAAAGCAGACTCATTCCTGCTGTATGCGTGCACGGCACGTAGTGTGCGAATGCCCCACATAGTGCCCCACATAGTGCCCCACATCGGGCCCCACATCGTCGCATTCGAATACGTCTTTGCGTGGCGCTACCTCTCTGCACCACCATCCTGCGCAAGTTATGTGATGGTGGGTTCTTTCTACATTTGCTGCACACTTTCTGCAAGTAGAAGATTTGTTTTGAGACGTCTCAAAACAGACATTCTATCACGTTTCTTTGTACAATTTGGTGCAGCCTTTCTCCAAGATGGCGCCAAAGCAGTGGTGACGGAGGAACGAGGCAGCACGCCAGGCCAGCAAGAGAGCACGGCACAGGGGGTTCGGAGTTCCCCCATGCATGACAGACATACCCCGCTCCCGCGCCCAAGTACGTACGTGGGAGACCCGTGGGGAGGCAAGCGAGCTACCTGGGAGGCGCTCAGGGCTTTGGAAGAGACTTCTATGGCCTTGTGAGTGGCTGTCTCCGCTGCGTACTCTGGGAGGGCGGGGAAGGTGGGGAGAGTGTGGGGAGGTGCGGAGGGTGCGGGGAGGTGGGGTGGGGAGGGTGAGGGGAGGTGGGAAAGCGGTAGAGAGATGAAACTCAGACTTCTATCGCCTTGTGAGTGGCCGACTCTGCTGCCAGTGTAGTCTGTGCCAGTTGTGCCATGGGTTGGGGGAGGAAGTGGGCGGGGGAGGAAGTGGGGGGAAGCATGGAAAGGTGGGAAAGAGGTGGACCATTGAAGTTCGGACTTTAATGGCCTTGTGAATGGCCGACTCTGCTGCCTGGACTGTGAAAGGAACCTGCGAGAGGGGGAGAGAGAGGGAGAGGGGGAGAGGGAGAGGGGGAAGAGATGTGGCAGGAAAAGGGAGGGGGAAAAGTGGGGAAGGGGAGAAAGAGCGAGAGGGGGGAATGTGAGGGAGGGGAAGAAATGGAGGGGAAGAAATGGAGGGGGGAATGAGAGCGGGGGAATGAGAGCGGGGGACAGACATTGCCTAACAGAGTGCCTTACCTCCTGCACTTGCGTAGCCTGCCTTACTGGGGTCCCCGTTATAAGTGATGGGTGAAATGCTGTCAATGCATTACTAACCTCCTGCACTGGCGAAGGATGCTTTATTGAGGTCCTCGTTAAAGGTGCTGGGGATGACGTCAACAGTAAGGCCCTGGGAAAGAGGAGAGACGGAGGTGGGGATGCGGAATATGAAGGTTAGAGCAGGGGAGAGGTGGAGGGGGAGGGTGGGGGGAGAGGTGGATGGGGAGAGGTGGATGGGGAGAGGTGGATGGGGAGAGGTGGATGGGGAGAGGTGGATGGGGAGAGGTGGATGGGGAGAGGTGGATGGGGAGAGGTGGATGGGAGAGGTGGATGGGAGGGTGGGGAGAGGTGGATGGGGAGAGGTGGATGGGAGAGAGGTGGATGGGGAGAGGTGGATGGGAGAGAGGTGGATGGGGGAGAGGTGGATGGGAGAGAGGTGGATGGGGGAGAGGTGGATGGGAGAGAGGTGGATGGGGGAGAGGTGGATGGGAGAGAGGTGGATGGGGGAGAGGTGGATGGGAGAGAGGTGGATGGGGGAGAGGTGGATGGGAGAGAGGTGGATGGGGGAGAGGTGGATGGGAGAGAGGTGGATGGGGGAGAGGTGGATGGGAGAGAGGTGGATGGGGGAGAGGTGGATGGGAGAGAGGTGGATGGGGGAGAGGTGGATGGGAGAGAGGTGGATGGGGGAGAGGTGGATGGGAGAGAGGTGGATGGGGGAGAGGTGGATGGGAGAGATGTGGATGGGGGAGAGGTGGATGGGAGAGATGTGGATGGGGAGAGGTGGATGGGAGAGAGGTGGATGGGGGAGAGGTGGATGGGAGAGAGGTGGATGGGGGAGAGGTGGATGGGAGAGAGGTGGATGGGGGAGAGGTGGATGGAAGAGAGGTGGATGGGAGAGAGGTGGATGGGGAGAGGTGGATGGGAGAGAGGTGGATGGGAGAGAGGTGGATGGGGAGAGGTGGATGGCTTTTGAGACGACTCAAGAGTCATCGCGTTACGAGATGGCGCCAAAGCAGTGCTCGCTGGGAAGGTGGTGGGGATGCGGAATATGAGAGTTACAGCAGGGGAGAGGTGGATGGGTGGATGGGGAGAGGTGGATGGGTGGATGGGTGGATGGGGAGAGGTGGATGGGTGGATGGGGAGAGGCGGATGGGTGGATGGGAGAGGCGGATGGGTGGATGGGGAGAGGCGGATGGGTGGATGGGGAGAGGCGGATGGGAGAGAGGTGGATGGGAGAGAGGTGGATGGGGAGAGGTGGATGGCTTTTGAGACGACTCAAGAGTCATCGCGTTACGAGATGGCGCCAAAGCAGTGCTCGCTGGGAAGGTGGTGGGGATGCGGAATATGAGAGTTACAGCAGGGGAGAGGTGGATGGGTGGATGGGGAGAGGTGGATGGGTGGATGGGGAGAGGCGGATGGGTGGATGGGGAGAGGCGGATGGGTGGATGGGGAGAGGCGGATGGGTGGATGGGGAGAGGCGGATGGGTGGATGGGGAGAGGTGGATGGGTGGATGGGGAGAGGCGGATGGGTGGATGGGGAGAGGCGGATGGGTGGGATGGGGAGAGGCGGATGGGGTGGATGGGGAGAGGCGGATGGGTGGATGGGGAGAGGCGGATGGGTGGATGGGGAGAGGTGGATGGGTGGATGGGGAGAGGCGGAATGGGTGGATGGGGAGAGGTGGATGGCGTGGATGGGAAGTGGCGGATGGGTGGATGGGGAGAGGCGGATGGGGTGGATGGGGAGAGGCGGATGGGTGGATGCGGGAGAGAGGCGGATGGGTGGATGGGGAGAGGCGGATGGGTGGATGGGGAGAGGCGTGGATGGGGAGAGGCGGAGGGTGGATGGGGGAGGCGGATGGGTGGATGGGGAGAGGCGGATGGGTGGATGGGGAGAGGTGGATGGGTGGATGGGGAGAGGCGGATGGGTGGATGGGGAGAGGCGGGATGGGTGGATGGGGAGAGGCGGATGGGTGGATGGGGAGAGGCGGATGGGTGGATGGGGAGAGGCGGATGGGTGGATGGGGAGAGGCGGATGGGTGGATGGGGAGAGGCGGATGGTGGTGGGGATGGGGGAGAGGCGGATGGGTGGATGGGGAGAGGCGGATGGGTGGATGGGCGAGGCGGATGGGGTGGATGGGGAGAGGCGGCATGGGTGGATGGGGAGAGGCGGATGGGTGGATGGGGAGAGGTGGATGGGTGGATGGGGAGAGGCGGATGGGTGGAATGGGGAGAGGCGGATGGGTGGATGGGGAGAGGTGGATGGGTGGATGGGGAGAGGCGGATGGGTGGATGGGGAGAGGTGGATGGGAGAGAGGTGGTGGGAGAGGTGGATGGCTTTTGAGACGACTCAAGAGTCATCGCGTTACGAGATGGCGCCAAAGCAGTGCTCGCTGGGAAGGTGGTGGGGATGCGGAATATGAGAGTTACAGCAGGGGAGAGGTGGATGGGTGGATGGGGAGAGGTGATGGGTGGATGGGGAGAGGCGGATGGTGGATGGGGAGAGGCGGATGGGTGGATGGGGAGAGGCGGATGGGTGGATGGGGAGAGGCGGATGGGTGGATGGGGAGAGGCGGATGGGTGGATGGGAGAGCGATGGGTGGATGGGGAGAGGCGGGATGGGTGGATGGGGAGAGGCGGATGGGTGGATGGGGCGAGGCGGATGGGTGATGGGGAGAGGCGGATGGGTGGATGGGGAGAGGCGGATGGGTGGATGGGGAGAGGCGGGGATGGGTGGATGGGGAGAGGCCGGATGGGTGGATGGGGAGAGGCGGATGGGTGGATGGGGAGAGGCGGATGGGTGGATGGGGAGAGGCGGATGGGTGGGATGGGGAGAGGCGGATGGGTGGATGGGGAGAGGGCGGGCGATGGGTGGATGGGGAGAGGCGGATGGGTGGATGGGGAGAGGCGGATGGGTGGATGGGGAGAGGCGGATGGTGGATGGGGAGAGGCGGATGGGTGGATGGGGAGAGGCGGATGGGTGATGGATGGGTGGATGGGGAGAGGCGGATGGGTGGATGGGGAGAGGTGGATGGGTGGATGGGGAGAGGCGGATGGGTGGATGGGGAGAGGCGGATGGGTGGATGGGGAGAGGCGGATGGGTGGATGGGGAGAGGCGGATTGGGATGTGGGATGGGGAGAGGCGGATGGGTGGATGGGGAGAGGCGGATGGGTGGATGGGGAGAGGCGGATGGGTGGATGGGGAGAGGCGGATGGGTGGATGGGGAGAGGCGGATGGGTGGATGGGGAGAGGCGGATGGGTGGATGGGGAGAGGCGGATGGGTGGATGGGGAGAGGCGGATGGGTGGATGGGGAGAGGCGGATGGGGTGGATGGGGAGAGGCGGATGGTGGATGGGGAGAGGGATGTGGATGGGGGAGGGGAGGGTGGATGGGGAGAGGCGGAATGGGTGGATGGGGAGAGGCGGATGGGTGGATGGGGAGATGGGTGGATGGGGAGGGGGATGGGGGAGAGGCGGATGGGTGGATGGGAGAGGTGGATGGGTGGATGGGGAGAGGCGGATGGGTGTGGATGGGGGAGAGGTGGATGGGTGGATGGGGAGAGGCGGATGGGTGGATGGGGAGAGGTGGATGGGTGGATGGGGGAGAGGCGGATGGGTGGATGGGGAGAGGCGGATGGGTGGATGGGGAGAGGCGGATGGGTGGATGGGGAGAGGCGGATGGGTGGATGGGAGAGGCGGATGGGGGAGAGGTGGAGAGAGGGTATGGGAGGGAGAGATGAGGATGACGTCAGCAGACAGGCTCAATGGAACATGTGGGCGGCGGAGGTAAGGGAGGATTTGTCTGTCCCCGCTAATAGCCTGATCCGATACTAGCAGCGGAGCCTATATACTACTAGCAGCCCTACCTACCAGACCGGATAGCAATTCGCGTCGCCTTGGGGATGCCGAAGCGAGAACGATCCGGCGCTTCGACAGTGCTGCCACGTGTTGGATGAACATTGGTCCACGCTTATTCCCTGTTCGCGGACCAAGCTTTCTTTCGCCTTCACCGCTTCAACGAAACTCTTAAGGCTATCGGCGTTCCCTGACCGTCGCTCGCTGGACGACGCGAACACGCGAGCTGACTTCGAGGTGCATATAAAAGGCAACCGGAATTAGTTTGAGGCGCGTCTAGCGACAGGCGAACTGATTCGCGGCGTGCGGAGCAAAGCTGCAGATGTCGCAGAGTCGTCGCTAGAATACGTCTTGCGACGATCGTGACGGATCACGGGTGCCGCGGCGAGCTAAGGCAGTGGCGACGCGCATAAAACTGGGAGCTCGGGGGAGGAGGATAGATGAATGCGAAAATGCTGATCGTGGTCGTTATTCTCGCTTTTGACAGATTCAGTTTGTGTCGTGCACAACCTCAAACCTGCACACCAGTAAATTTCAGTACACTGCATGCTTCCCTTAATCTAATTTGATATCAACACGCAAAAGCCCGTAACACCTCTAAACAGATTACATTCGCATAATAAACAATAATGGTAGATTATTCACAATGTACGTTAGAGCATATTCCATGCTGGTGGCATTCACCTGCCCAACATCTACGCACTCCCTACTACTCTTGCCCATTTTTCAGCTCCCCATACTTTGTTTCCGCCTTGCCTTTTCCCCCCTTTTTCTTCCCCCCCCGGCCACCTTCTCTTCGTAGCTTCTGCTTCCCTGTGGGTGTTGTTGACCCTGCAACCACTCTTCCCCTGCCCCAATCCCTGAATCGAATCCTTCTGCTCCTTCCCTCTCTGCTGCTTGTCACCAGCACCACCACTCCCCTTCGCACCACCTCCTTCACTTGAAAGTGCTGCCTTGGTAGCACCGTCTTTTTTGGGCTTTCTCAACCTAGCAGCTGCAGCAGGGGTCAGACCCACCCCAGGCCAGCAGCAGCAGCACCGCCACTCCCCTTGGCAGCTCCACCTCGTTCATGTGACGGTGCTGCTTGGCGGCACAATCCTTCTTAGGCTTTCTTAGACTAGCAGCTGCAGCAGGGGTCCCAGCCACACCAGCCAGCAGCAGCAGCAGCAGCAGCAGCAGCAGCAGCAGCAGCAGCAGGAGCAGACGTGCCAGGTACATCACCTGTGGAAGCACCTTGTGCAGTCATCTTCTTCTGCTGCTGTAATTGCTTGCGGCGCTGCTGCCTCTGCCTTCCGCCATCTCCCTTCTGCTTCTTGATGCTCCCTGCAGCACCCGCAGTAGGAAGCAGCACCAGGACTTGTAGCGGCAGCCGCCGCAGCAGCAGCAGCATCCGGCAGCAGCAGCGGCGGCAGCAGCTTTGGTGCGTTCGAATCTCTCTGCATGGGTCTCTCCTATCGCCTCCACCTCCCCATCGCTGTTCACCATCACCTTAGACTCGCCCCTCTCGTGCCGCACCGCTGCTGCCACGTGTTTCTGCAGGGGGGAGGGGGCCAGGGGCCCATAGATGAGAGGCGCGGGGGGAATGAAGATATGGATGCAAGTAACGCCAATGCACTCCACCTCCCCATCACTGTTCACCATCACTTTTAACTCGCCCCTCCCATGCCATGCCACCCCACCGCCCCTGCCACGTGCTTCTGCAGGAAGCAGAGGGAACGGCAGTGCAGCGGTTTGTAGCGGCGTGCGGTGCAGGCAGGTAGGGAGGGATGTGGGGAGAGAGAGAGGAACCAAGCACACGACAAGGAACTTGCTACTAGTGAGCGAAAATGGGGGACAGAAAACAAGAGGTGGCTCAGCACTCTCATCCATGCAGCCTTGTGGTTTTCCCCTTGACGCCATGCTAGTAAACAAAACGATTTTCCTGTTACTTAGAGGCCAGGTGTTTCTTCCTGTTATCTTGGACGCCAGGTGTTTCTTCATGTTACCTTGGACGCCAGGTGTTTCTTCATGTTACCTTGGACGCCAGGTGTTTCTTCATGTTGTCACTGTTCACACAGAGCACCCGAGGGCACACTCTGCACCGCAGCACACCGCCCCCTCCCCCCCCTCCCTGCCCCACCACTCTTATCACCATCTCCCCCTCTGCCCCAAAATCCAAGTCTTTAAATGCATTTCTTTTCTCCCTGCCCCTCCTCTCCTTCGCCTTTGCTTTCCTCTTCCGCTTTTCCCCCTCCCCCCTCCCTCCCCGTCTTTCTCTCCCTCCACCACTCCCTCTTCTTCCTCATCCCCCTCCCCGTCCTCTTCTCCCTCCTCCCCCTCGCCTGCTCTCGTCAGTGGTGCTGCCATCACTCTCACTACTCCCAGTCTTCCCCCCCTTCTTCCTCCTCTTCTTCCTCCTCCTCTCCTCCTCTCTCTCCCTCTCCTCCTCTGACACCAGCTCCTCCCACTGAGAAGACACCCCCCCTGCTCCTCCCTCCTCCTCCTCCTCCTCCTCCTCTTCGTCTGTGTCACTCTCACTCGCTCCACTCTCATCACCTTCCCCCTCCCTCTCTCCCCCCTCACTCTCCCCACTCCCCCCTTCGTGCACCTCCTCTTCCTCTGCACACAGGGACACGTGGCAGGGAAGGACAGGCGCAGGCAAGGACAGGGGAAGGCAAGGACAGGGGGAGGCAGACATAGAAGGGGGAAAGGCAGAGGGAGGGTTAGGCAGGGAAATGAGGGGTTACACTCGGGTTACCAATCCAGTCGAAGAGAGTACAGGGGCGATTGAGCTTAGCGAGTCGACACACACGGTAGCTGGGAGACGAAACGCGTGGAGGGTGGAAGGTCGTCGGCGCGAGTTACTTCCGAATTGGCCAAGAAATGCGCCAAGGCGTCGTTCGTTCCCGTGGAGAGGGGCGTCGTCTTTCCGCTGGCACCACCCTCACGCGATTCCTTCCGCCGCATTCGTCGTCGCTGGGCGACGAGGAGCTCCACTCGTCGCTGGACGACGAATGCAGCGGAAGGAGTCGCGCGAAGGTGGTGGCAGCGGAAGGACGACGAGGAACTCGACTCGTCGCTGGAGTCAGCGGGGCCGCCGTCGGCGCGATTCGCCTCATGAGTAACTTCGGCGCGACTCAAGCGTCGCCTGGGTTCGATGACACGTGACAATTTCGCTTCAGTCGCTCACCTGACGACGCGGCGCCGTCGTCGTCGCTCGACGAACTCGATTCGTCGCTGGAGGCAGCCGCGGGGCCATCTTCGGCATGCAGCATGCGATAGTCGCGACGCTTTATCATTGTGACGCTGGCTCGTAGCTGCAGGCGAGTATTGCGCTTCTGATGGTATGATTCTAGCGTAAAGCGAATAGATGGTAGCTGCAGTTGCGACAGATGGTAAATGGTAGTTGCAGATGGTACGGAAGAAAACGCAGTGGTTCTAGCACTAAGTAGGGGGTTAGGTTTTGGGGTTTTATGAAATCCGCAAGAGAAAGAATTCTACGGGGTTTTGCAAAACACTGGAGGGGGCTGTGGAAACTCCCCGCGTTGGCGAATTGTACGTTCGCGCAGGGCGACACCACTTCTCGCCAAGAAAATCAGGTAACCGTGTGGAGTTTGAGTAGCTGAGATGTATTCGAGAGACTTCGGTACCAGAAACATTCGAGACTATGTACAAGATTGATTGATCGGAGTGGATTGGAGTGGTCCAAAAATGTCGTTTTAAAGAAAGTGGAGTGGATACTCTGCTCTCTCCTTTCGACTCGGAGAGGGAGCCTTGTCCCTTCACCTGTTCAATAGTTGACAAGAGCGGCAAGGCGCCCCTTGGCGACCCAAGGCGCCTTGTACACGCCCTCACCTTCTTTCGCCAAAACTTCGCCAACGGTTTCGTAGAACCCAAGGAAACCTGATCCACTTTCGTGGGATAGCAACCAATCCCGCAGCGGCGCCGTCACTTCATGTCACGGCGGCGTATGATTTGACCGTTCTGAGACCGCCTGATTCCGTAATATCCGGGCGTTTCACCCGTCAGTTTCTGCCACTGCTTTAGCGGCTCGGCCAACGTAGGTAGTTAACAACTTCCACCCGCTTTGCACACTTATCAGCCGTAACTACTAGTGTGTGGCTCATAATTACGCCTGCGAATCACGCGGTGATTCGCGAAAACGTTTCGGTAGAGTACATACCGCTCGTTTCCGACATACGTTTCGTTTCAGGACAGGCGAGGAGTGAGGCGAGGAGTGAGGCGAGGAGTGAGGCGAGGAGTGAGGCGAGGCGAGGAGTGAGGCGAGGAGTGAGGCGAGGAGTGAGGCGAGGAGTGAGGCGAGGAGTGAGGCCCGGGAGTTCCAAACCCGCAATCGTAGTCCTCGATATTATTACTTCCTCCTTCGTCTTCCGTCGTTTAATCAATGGCGGCGAGTGCGAACCCGCCGGTCTTAGACATCACTATTGACCCGGCGAGCCCTTTGGAAGCGAAGGAAACGGCCGTCAGGTACGCTTCAGGTGCTTTCAGGTGCTTTCAGGTGCTTTCAGGTGGCTCCCAGGTGCTTCCAGGCGGAACTCCAGATTCTTCCAGTGCAGAATCAACGTCAACGTCACCGCAGCATGATTTTTATGCCTTACGTTTCTCCCCCAGGACCATAGCACACAGTCTCATGCAGCATGGCAGCTGCTACCTTAGCGTGTGTAATGAGTCGATTTTTTAGTCGACTAAAAAATATCCCCCATAACCAAAGCACGCAGTCTCATGCCAGCATGGCAGCTGCTACTTAGCATGTGGAATGAGTCGATTTTTGAGTCGACTCTTAAATCTCCCCCAGAACCATAGCACGCAGTCTCATGCCAGCATGGCAGCTGCTACCTTAGCGTGTGTAATGAGTCGATTTTTGAGTCGACTAAAAAAATTCCCCCAGAACCATAGCACGCAGTCTCATGCCAGCATGGCAGCAGTTACCTTAGCGTGTGTAATGAGTCGATTTTTGTGTCGACTCAAAATCTCCCCAGAACCATAGTACGCAGTCTCATGCCAGCAGGGCAGCTGCTACCTTAGCGTGTGTAATGAGTCGATTTTGAGTCGACTCAAAAATCTCCCCCAGAACCATAGCACGCAGTCTCATGCCAGCATGGCAGCAGTTACCTTAGCGTGTGTATGAGTCGATTTTTGTGTCGACTCAAAATCTCCCCCCAGAACCATAGTACGCAGTCTCATGCCAGCACGGCAGCTGCTACCTTAGCGTGTGTAATGAGTCGATTTTTTAGTCGACTAAAAAATCTCCCCCAGAACCATAGCACGCAATCTCATGCCAGCATGGCAGCTGCTACCTTAGCGTGTGTAATGAGTCGATTTTTAGTCGACTAAAAATATCCCCCATAACCAAGCACGCAGTCTCATGCCAGCATGGCAAGCTGCTACCTTAGCGTGTGTAATGAGTCGATTTTTGAGTCGACTCTTAAATCTCCCCCAGAACCATAGCACGCAGTCTCATGCCAGCATGGCAGCAGCTACCTTAGCGTGTGTAATGAGTCGATTTTTGTGTCGACTCAAAAATCTCCCCAGAACCATAGCACGCAGTCTCATGCCAGCATGGCAGCAGCTACCTTAGCGTGTGTAATGAGTCGATTTTTTAGTCGACGAAAAAATTCCCCCCAGGACCATAGCACGCAGTCTCATGCCAGCATGGCAGCTGCTACCTTAGCGTGTGTAATGAGTCGATTTTTGAGTCGACTCTTAAATCTCCCCCAGAGCCATAGCACGCAGTCTCATGCCAGCATGGCAGCAGCTACCTTAGCGTGTGTAATGAGTCGATTTTTGTGTCGACTCAAAAATCTCCCCCAGAACCATAGCACGCAGTCTCATGCCAGCATGGCAGCAGCTACCTTAGCGTGTGCAATGAGTCGATTTTTTGAGTCGACGAAAAAATTCCCCCCAGGACCATAGCACGCAGTCTCATGCCAGCATGGCAGCTGCTACCTTAACTGTGCACCATTAGTGGCAAGGTGTGACCCCTTATTCCACTTCCCCCACCTCTCTTCTTCTCCCCTTACCTTCTCCCTCCCTCAGGACCATAGCACATGGGCTCGTGCCAGCGTGGCAGAAGCTTGACTTTTGAGTTGACTCAAAAATCACCTCCCTGCCTTCTCCCTCCCGCAGGACCATAGCGCACAGGCTGATGCCAGCGTGGCAGCAGCTGCCAGAGACAGCCTTGCGAGTCTCCACCATCTCAGGCGGCATCACCAACCTTAGTGAGTTTTAGAGCGCCCTTTAACGACAGCTCTACACATTAGAGACGGGTTTGGCAGCCGGCATCGGTACCCTCCTCTCCCCCCCCCCCTTTTGGTGCCAGAGACTAACCTGCGAGTCTCCACCATCTCAGGCGGCATCACCAACCTTATTGAGCTTAGGGACGCCAGTACGTAGCAGCATTTCACCTCTGAATCGGACTTGAATGCAACAGTGAGAACCTCGTGATGGGTTG